TCGGTTCCAAATTGAACTTGGGGACCGAGTGACTAAGCTCGGCTCTGAATTGAACCTGGGGACCGAGTGAGTGAGCTCGACTTTGAATTGAAAGTCGGGAGCGAACTGGAGTGGCTTGGGCAAGAGCTGGGTCGACGAGCCGTAGGTTGGGAATCGATCTGGAGCAACTCGGGCAAAAGCTGGGCCGACAGGCAGCAGGTCGGGAACTAATCTGGAGCAGCTCGGGCAAGAGCTGGGCTGGCGAGCCGCAGGTCAGGAATCGATCTAGAGCGACTCGGGCAAAAGCTGGGCCGACGAGGCACAGGTCAAGAACCGATCTGGAGTAGCTTGGGCAAGAGCTGGGCCGATGAGCCGCAGGTCAGGAACCGATCTGGTGAGCCTATGGACCTCTTGTCGTGAGTGGCTTTTCGGTAGGAGATTTTGGATGACGAGGCATCTTTTGATGGGTCCCTTGGGACGTGGAGTTGCTTCTCAGGGTTCCTTGAGATAACGCCCGAGGTGACCTTTTCGGATCAAATCCTCGATTTAATTTTGGAGGTTACAGCAATCTTCCATGCTATGGCCATAGTCCTAGTGGAACGTGCTCAAAGGGAGAGGCGGGGGCCTCGGGAGCAGTAGCTCTTATTGTTGAATCTCATATTTTGATGATGAAACCAATTGATAATTGTGTTTATGTTTTAATCTGCGTTTTGAGTGACGTATGATGATTCGATCATGATGAGACAATTAAAGTAGGAAAAATCATGTTGGGCCGGAGGAACATGTCAAAAGATTGGACATCGGGCCGGTGGATCGGTCAACGTATCGACAGAAGGCTTCGAGCCGTGGACTCGGACATCGGGCCAAGAAAAGTAGGTATTGTGCCAAGGATATCGGAGTTACGGAGTCAATTGGCCAATTGGGCAATAGGCCGTAGGAGAGGACAATGCGCCGAATAATCGGACGAAGCATTGAGGGACCAATGACATGCCGGACAACTTGGTTAATTGCTTAAGACTAATTGTCTCGATCGAAGTTTTGTTTTACATGTGCAGGATTAACTACGATGGAAGTAAGACATGCAGCAGGAGTTGCTTCGGAGTCAAGACTATGATCACGTTGGGAGTTCGAGAGTTCGACGGAAGTCCGGACGGTCGTCGGAGGTTCTGTGGGAACAAATCCGAGAAGTCCAGGAGCTTGCCAAAGAAGCTCATCGGAACTCGCCAAGTGGATCATCGCAAGTCCAGGAGTTTGCCAGAAGTCCGCCGGAGAATCACCGAAGGTTTGTCGGATGTTCGCTGGAAGTTCGTCGGAAGCACGCCGGAAGAAGCGATTGACGCACTGGAGCAAGTTGCAGTAAATGTCTTAAGAAATATCGTAGTTAGCATGTAGATTAAGTTAGGAATGGGAGGTGATCCCATTAACTTAATCTGGGGGCAATTGGGCCCTTGATAAACCCAAATTGGGCCGAATGGATCAACCCATTCGTACCAGAATTCCTGCCAGGCGGTGGCACCGCTAGGGTCGGCGGTGGCACTGCCCAGGAGATGGTTTCCCAGGAAAGCTAGGTGGTGCAACCGCCCAGGTCAGGCGGTGGTACCACCTAGGCTCAATCTCCGAGCGAGACTGGGCGGTGGTACCGCCCCAGTCAGGTGGTGGTACCGCCTGGGCTCAGTCTCCGAGTGAGATTGGGCAGTGGAACTGCCCCAGTCAGGCGGTGGCACCGCCAGAGCTTAGTATCCGAGCTTTGTCAGGCGGTCGTACCGCCAGGACCCCGGAAATCCGGGAGGTGACATTTTTTAGCTCCAAATTCAAACTAGTTTGGGGCCTATATATACCCCACCCTTTCCTGTATGAAAGGGAACCAAAAGCTTGATCTTACTCTGTGATTTTAGAGCTCATAAGTGTTGTAAAGGCTAGAAGTTCTCCTCCCTCTTTTCTTCTAAGTTTTGATCTTTCGAGAGAGGAGAGAAAATTCTGTAAGGGTTCTCCTAAGCCCGTCAAAAGGAGTGAAACTGTAAAATGGTGGTTGGCCTTCGCCTATTGAAAGAAGGCCTCTAGTGGAGGTCGGTGACCTCGTCGGAGGAGGAAGCCGAAAGTGGATGTAGGTCATGTTTGACCGAACCACTCTAAAATCTGGTTTGCATTTCCTTTGTGCTATTTATCTTAACTGCAAACTGCCTTCCATACTTTACTTCAAATACGTTTCCATAAGCTTTCAAAGTTATTATCTGCATGAAATGACTTTTACGTCGGAATCGGATTTCAACGTACGAATGCAGTTTCAATCGTCGAAAGTTTTTCACTGCACTAATTCACATTGGTATCAGAGCCTCGTTATTTCTCACTTGGATTAACACACAAGAGAAATGGCTCTTTTCGGCAACCAAGAGGGTCACTCTCTCATTCATCCTCCCTTTTTCAATGAGACAGACTACACTTATTGGAAAACTCGAATGAGAGTTTTCTTGCTTTCGTTGGATTTGAATTTATGGCACATTGTCGAATCCGGTTTTAAAAGGTCTTCTCTTCCAATGAAAGATTGGAATGATTTGGAGAAGAGGACTTTTTCTTTAAATGCTAGAGCTATGAATGCTCTATTTTGCGCCTTAGATAAAACATAGTTTAATCATGTTTCTTTGTGCGAAACGACTTTCGATATTTAGCGCACTCTTGAAATCACACACGAAGGCACAAGTAGTGTAAAAGAATCTAAATTAAAT